ATATTGGAATAGGTGCCAACCTTGCTCCAGTATGACCCTATCTTAACTAATTACAACTGCTACAATCCTATTTCCAAAGAAGGTCACTTTTTGAGTTCTAGGAATTAGGACTTCAATAGATGAATTTGGGAAGGGCACTACCCATAAAAGTTTCTGTCCTTACCCAATGCCATTTCTCTAAAGACTGATGCAGCTCAGACAGAGATTATTTCCTCTATAGAATCTTCCTTAATGGCCTCTCTCTCTTTCCCCCACCTCCATTTACCACACACCTATGCTCCTTCCAGACTGGGTTGGGTGTCCCTCCAAAACTCCCTATGACACTACTAATATTCTTCCCCCATTCTATTAAGGTGGTGTCTTTGCTCACATCTCTCCACAATGAGTGAGATCTTCTAGGAGACAGAGAACAAATACTGTTCATCTTTGCATCACCCCCAAGCCTGGATATAGAAAGGATCCCAAAAAGTACTAAGTAACTGAGTAGATAAATAAATGAGTGAACTGCATCAAGGAAAAGCACCCTGCAGCTGATCTCTGAAAGGATCTGTACTTTATGCATATCTTATTCATAGAAGTGCTGGTCATCATGCCTTCTTTTGCTGGAAGACATTAATAGAGATGCAATTAGTAGAGAGAGACACTAGGAGAGATTAAATTAATAGAGATTTTAAAATCACAGACTTGGTGTTTGCCATGTCCTGTGCTAGAATACATAATTAGTTCATTCATCCTTCCAACAATATAATCATGTATTGTTTTCATCCCCATTTTACAGATGAGTAATCTAAGGCTCAGAGCTCAGTAAAGAACCACTGACAATGTGAGCTCTGCTCTGTAGGAGTCTGAGTCTGTGCTCATTCTGCTGTATCTGATCTGACCTATTTGGACCAGCAGCCTCAGATCCTTTCTCCTGGGGAGTGTCTTCACCAATTTTGTCCTGACACATTAATGAATCTGAGATGCCCTGATTGGTATAGAGTCCTCCCATTCTGCTTTCTCTGGCCTCCCAGTTCCATATTGACATCCTTATCTCAGAGGACTGGCTCATGACAACCATCAAGTTTTGGGTCCAGGGAACCAGATGGATGCTTTGACTGGACTGTGCCAGCTCCACCCAATGCCCTATTGTGACCTCAGAGGTCAAGCTGGGCTTAGTGAAACCAATCACAGAGGGCAAAGCCACACTGGGTCTGCCTGAACTGACTATGAACTATCTCAGCAGAAGTCTCTCCATTGGTTTGAGTAGAGACCATGGCCAAGGACAGGATGGAAGAGCAGTGTTTTTGCTACCCATCGTCCTGCTGCTGCACTGGACACACAGCTCCCTAGCATGTAGGTCTCTCGTGGTGTTCTTGTATCTGTGCCTCACAGCACAGGGGAGCTGTGTTCAAAAGGTCAAGTCCTAAGATGCTGATTCTCTAGTTCTGGGTGTGAGCTGGGGAACTGCATGTTCAATAAGCCCCTCAGGTGAATGTGATGGGAGGTGCTGGACCAGACTTTCAGATCATTGCTCCCACGCCACCCCAAACTTAAAAGTTATATGTGGAGGAACTGTGTGTATGTGTGTGTGTGTGTGTGTGTGTGTGTGTGTGTGTGTGTTTAGCATAGCAGCTGTGTTAAGTACTAGAGTTTCCCAGAGTGAATGGCCAATGTAAGCAAACATTCCTGAGAGCTGAAGGTGCCACCTGGCTATGTCCTGCAGCTTTAAGGCCAAGGATAAGCCTAGGAAGGATTTCCCTGCTGCTTTTCCCTAGAATACCTTCTGAAAGCTCATGTGGAGCCTAACTGGTCTAATGCAAAACCATAGCATTATATAAATATTAGAGGCTCAGTGCATGAAATTCATGCATGGGCAGGGTCTCCAGCAGCTGCTGGTTGCCGGCGCTGGCCACTGGCTGGGGCCTCTTTTCCTGTGGTTGGCCGGCTGGCCCTGCCCCCTGGTTGAATATCAGTCACAGGGACAATTTGCATATTAGGCCTTTTCTATGTAATAAAAGTATAATATGCAAAGTGATTGTGCCCCTGCTATACCCACAAGCCATGCCACCAGCCAATTAGGAGCAAGTATGCAAATTAACGAAACCAAATGGCTGTGGCCATGGAGCAATGGAGGAAGCCAAGCTTCCTGGCCTGCCTGGCCTCCACTCAAGGCTGCAAAGTTTCAATTATAGAAGATAAATAAATTTCAACAAAAATGACTGTGGCCACTGAGCAAGCAGGAGGCTTATGTTTCCCCAGCAATGGAGGAAGCCAACCTTTCTGCCCACCCTGGCCTGCCTTAGTCTCTGCTCAAGGCTACAAAGTTTCAATTATAGAAGATAAATAAATCCTAAATACCAGGGCCTCTGCTTGGGTTGCCAGGGGGTGTGGCAAGCCTGCAAACCACCACAGGCCCCTCATCCAGGCTGCTCCATACCCCAAGGGAACCCCCACCCTGATCTGGAACACCCTTCTGGGCAAACCAGCTGACCCTCACCCATGCACCAGGCCTCTATCCTATCTAATAAAAGAGTAATATGCAGATTGACCATCACTCCAACACACAAGATCAAGATAGCTGCCCCCATATGGTTAAAGATCCTGCCCCCATGTGGACACAAGATGGCAGCCACAAGATGGCCTGCAAGGGAGGGCAGTTAGGGGTGATCAACCCTGCAGGAGAGGGCAGTTAGGGGTGACCAGGCTGGCAGAGGAGGGAAGTTAGGGGCAAATAGGCTGGCAGGGGAACAGTTAGACATCAATCAGGCTGGCAGGGGAGTGGTTAGGGGTTGATCAGGCTGGCATGCAAAAGCGGTTAGGGGCAATCAGGAAGGCAGGTAAGCGAGATGTTGGGAGCCATCAGTCCTGGACTGTGAGAGGGATGTCCGACTGCCCATTTAGGCCTGATACTATCAGGATGGGGCCTAAATGGGCAGTTGGACATCCCTTGAGGGGCCTCGATTGGAGAAGGTGCAGGCTGGGCCAAGGAACACCCCCCCACACCCGTGCTGCATGAATTTCATATACCAGGCCTCTAGTATTATATAAGACTAGAGGCCCAGTGCACGAATTCATGCACCAGTGGGGTCCCTCAACCCTTGCAATCTGGGACCCCTCAAGGGATATAGCATACTGCCTGGCCTGCAAGGATCATACCAAAACCAGCAGTCTGACATCCCCTGAGGAATGTATAGCAGTGCATGAAGCAGCAAAACAGCTGGGGAGAAACCCAAGCCAGCATGAGCACCAAGCCAATCCCACTCTTCCTCTCTTCCTAACATCGTTGCACCTGTCACCACTTGGTAGCGCTGCCGCAGATGCACCAGTAGTGAGCCTGGCTTCTGGCTAAGCGGTGTTCCTGCTGTGGAGCGCACTGACCACTAGGGAGCAGCTCCTGCAAAGAGCGTCTACCCCTGGTGGTCAGTGCACATCATAGTGACCAGCTGACTGGTCAAGCAGTTAACTAGTTGACTGGTTGCTTAGGCATATATATATAATGAAGGTTGTATATTAACACCTTTGCTGGCTTCATCTTCCTGGATCCTGAGAATTTATGGAGCTTATGTTCAATGTGTTGGTGGACAAATATCAAATCTCTACCACATGCTGGAAACTGTTTTAGGAGCTGGGTTTATAACAGAGACTGGCATATTCATTCTCTACCCTTAAGCAATGTTATTATTCAGTGGGGGGAAGAAAGTATTAAATGTATAAATGAGTTAATAAACAAGTTAATCTCAGCTCCTGTTAAGTGGTCTGGGGAAGATAAAAGTGGCTAATGTGATGGAAGGTCTGCAGGTGGTTGTTGAGACTCTGTAGTAGGTGGTCACAGAAAGCCTTCCTAAGATGACCAGACACACACTGAAACCCATCTGATAGGGATATGTATTTCCAAGCAGAAGTGACAGCGAGTGCAAAGTCCCCTGGATGGTGCTCTGTATGTTTCAGAGGCAGACAGGTCAGTGCAGCTGGGGCAGAGGCAATAGGAAGGGGTAACAGGAGAAAGGTGGGCCCAGAAAGCTGGGGAGGGCTCGGATCACACTGAGCCCACAGAGGCTCAGTAAGGACTTTGGCTGATATTCTCATTACAATGAGAAGCCATAAGAGAGTGTAAATGGGAGAGCAAGAAATAAGCGGCGCTTGAGATAGGTGTTCTGTCTGGTACAGAGGACAGGCATTGCAGGGATAAGAATGGAAGGCAGGAGGTTAGGTAGTGACTTGGGGCTATAGTGGTGATGAATGATATGTGATGGATGATGATACACATGGGTGGTGGTGTCGAGATGGTTTGAATATATATACCTTTCACATTATACTTTCTTGTGAAAAGTGTTTAATGTCACTGCCTTGTTCCTGAGAGTAAACATGGTTAACACTTAGAAGGAAATTTGCCCCATGGTTATGAGAACAGATTCTGGAGTCAGACTGCCCAATTACAGATTTTAGCTCAGTCATATGCTAGCTGCTGGGTCTCAGCCAGATTTCCCAATCTTAAGCTTGCCTCTGTTGTCTCACCTTTCAAATGGGCAATAGTAATTTCAGTTATCTCATGGGGTTTACATGATACTTTAATTGTTTTAGAGAGAACAGAATGGTGCCTGGCAACTAGCAAGTGTTAAACAGTTTAGATTTTTTTCTTTTTCTTTTTCTTTTTTTAAATATATTTTATTGATTTTTTTACAGAGAGGAAGGGAGAGAGATAGAAAGTTAGAAACATCGATGAGAAACATCGATCAGCTGCCTCCTGCACACCCCCTACTGGGGTTGTGCCCGCAACCCAGGTACATGGCCTTGACCGGAATTGAACCCGGGACCCTTGAGAAGGCAGGCCGATGCTCTATCCATTGAGCCAAACCAGTTTTGGCTAGATTTTATGATGCCTAATTTTCTCATGACTCAACTGACATTTCAAAGACATTGAAAGAAGTCAAAGTAATCATATTACATAGGAAATGCCAAATTTTTATTCCTTTCAAGGTGCCACTGGGATAATCTCTAGAATTAAAATTAGGTGAAAGATGGCACCACTAATAAATCAGAAACTTGGAAAAGGAACCAGTGAGGAAGGGAGGGACTGCTCAGTTTCCCTCGGCTATAAGATTTCTGGTGTCTCTGTGGCCCTTGAAGATATCTATCCAGAGCTTAGGAGAATGTTCTACACCAAAACAATATACCAAGGCCCTGTTTTCAGAGGACAATGAGGCCTAATTTCATATAAATGAATGTGCTCTCCCTCTTCGAGGGAAACAACAAGATCCAGGCCCAAGGCTTGTGGCTGTGTCTCCTCCCCAAAGGCCCTCAGCGAGAGAACCATCTAAGAAGCTAAGCTATGGTGAAGGCAACCACCATTGCTCTTCATAGGCACATCCTTACAACTGTGGCACCATTGACAGGCCTGGGGGCACGCTTTGTCTGTTGGGTTTCGCACCTGAAGCTAAGCCATGCTATCTTTGTGCTAGGATGGGGAGGGGCTAGGAGAAGGGACATTGTCTTTAAGTCTATTCCAATCCAACCAACCTTGACTATTGGGTTCTGACTCTCTTTCTTCTTGCTTTTAGTGACATGTGGCCAAACAATATACACCCAAGCTGAAAAACCAACAAATTTGAAAATCTTGGGTGGGCAATCTGCAGACATTACAGAGTTCCCATGGCAGGTGAATATTTTTGATCAAGGGAAACATCTCTGTGGAGGATCAATTCTCAGTGAGTGGTGGATTCTGTCTGCATCCCATTGCTTTATAAAAAGAAATATGTAAGTACTGCAAACAGACTTCTTTTTAAACCAGTGTGGTAGAATATTTGCTCCTACCTGCTTAGTATGCTCCTGGTGCCTCCATCAGGTTTGTCATGAAAGTTACCAGGAGGTTAAATATATATCCTTGTGGTTAAACATCACCCTTTGCAGGTAGGAGAGAAACTGCTCTCCTTCTAGGAGATTTTATATCTTGCTGTGTAGGACCAAATGGCAGAGCAAATGTTCCTTGGACTTCTCAGCATCTTGCTTTCCTAAGCATTTGCTCCACGCCTGGCTGCATAGCTGCAGCTCTTGAGGTGCTGCCTTAGCCTACATCCTCCAATCAGTATTGTTGAAAAACTTCCCAGGTGTTTATTGGAGCTAGTCCAGCCCTTGTTGCAAATCCAGAGACAATTCCCTCAATTACTTGTGCATATAATGGCTTCCCAGACATTTGTTGATAAATTTATAAGTCAATTTGCCAAGAGTTGTTGCCAACAGTGTGGACCTGGAACTCATGTCTGTGTCCTCCTGCCCAGTAGGGGCTCTTCACCTGGCTCTATGCCAAGGGTGTGGCCCCAGATGTTCCATCTCCCAGTTTCCAGGATCAGAGCCTCAGACTGTTGAAAGTTTTTTTTCATAAGATTCACCTTTTGCTCTTCCATCACTTACCCTTTTTTCCTTTTGTTTTGAAATAAGATCTACCTTGGAGATCATACACGATAACAGAAATTATATCACCATGAACATGACAAGGATGAAAGTGGACAAGCTAATTATTCACCCCTACTTTGACAGCTGGATCTTGGATAATGACATCGCTTTGCTCTTGCTCCAATCCCCATTTCACTTGAGTGTCACCAAAGTCCCCATCTGCCTTTCAGAGGTCACTGACATACATGGATGGAGAAATTGCCAGGTGTCTGGATGGGGCCTTACCAGTGAGTTACTGTAGCTCAGCCCTCTGGAAAGTAGCACCCTGGCTCATGTTTGCAATGAGAAGCGAAGACTGGTGGCCCTGGAAAGGCTGCCTGGTGGATTTGGGGTCTTTAAGGTTCCATGATAAACCTTCTCCTCAGTTCACATGGGAGCTGTCCTTCCTGAGCCTTCTTGGCCTCCTGGAGCAAGTTTTATGTCCAGATGGTGGAACATGAACCTTGAATAGGGCCTCAGGATGACCCAGGCAGAGGTTCTCAGAGTCACAGGGGTGACTTGGAGAAGTGTAGAGGGACATATTGATGGGCAAATGGGGTGGCAAAATGGACTGCGCTCAAGGAAATCCATACCCATGTCATCCTGTGCAGTTTTATTCTAACTGATGGTGTCAGTTCTGTGTCCTTGGGATAAAAAGCTCAGTGGCTAAAACATTTGAAAATCACAGATCAAGGATAAAGGCATAAAGTGAATGTGAAATTGTCTTTATAGAGTCAACCTGCAAACAACTCCCACCACTTTTCCCAGCCACACAAGATGATGTCCTTTGTCCTTCTTGGTACCCGTGTCTTGCCCCAGAATCAACAGAGCAGAAAAAAATGTATTCCAGTCAGTGGTACTCTTCCCAGCAGTTATCCCAGTGGCTGTATCAGATTCCCACATGGTCCCAAAGCTCAGAGCTACATTAGATTTCCTGGGAATTGCCCTTAGAAGTTTATGATGAGCTTCAAAAAGGGCCACTTTCTTTAAATATATTTTATTGATTTTTTTTTACAGAGAAGAAGGGAGAGGAATAGAGTTAGAAACATAGATGAGAGAGAAACATCGATTCAGCTGCCTCCTGCACACTCCCTACTGGGGATGTGCCCATAACCAAGGTACATGCTCTTGACCAGAATTGAAACTGGGACCTTTCAGTCCGCAGGCTGACGCTCTATCCGCTGAGCCAAACTGGTTAGGGCAAGGGCCACTTTCTTAACATAGAGTTCCTCATGCTTCATCCAGCACATATTCATTAATGCTCTTCTATGTTTTAGGGATTCAGCTATACTGTACAAAGACAAAATTATCCTCATCTTTGGAGAGTGAATATTCTAGGTGTTGGGCTCACCTCCTCATGAGCCCTTACACAATTCAAGCCCACCATTACGTATTGTGAACCCTAGGACAGAACTTAAACTATGGGATCTCTTTACATCCTTATGGATATAAAAGAAACATATTTTTAGCCTCTAGTTGGAGACTGGAAATTTCCATGGGGCTAGAAGATGGTGCACACAGGCTGAAACTCAGTAGGGTCCAGTTCTGGGGGACCTCTGGATTCAGAGAGGGTGGGCTTGAGAGTCTGCTGGCCATTCTTCCCACCCTTCCCTTATTTCCTCCACAGGTGGGTTGTTCTCTGGACCATAGGAAAATTCCCTTGTCATTGAGGTGAAAAGATACAATGAGGTAAATGCTTGACCTCCACTCAAAGAGACCACTTTGGGCTTAGGGTCTTCCCCATCTGCTTCTTCTTTGGGTCAGTTCCTCTGAGAGGTGAGCATCAAGAGCTACAGAAAATCAACATCCAGCTGTTCAAATGGAGAAAGTGCTCCCATATCATGCCTCTTGTCACCAGGAACATGCTGTGTGCTGGGACCCTTCATGGTGAGCAGGATGCCTGCCAGGTAATGAAGCTGGTTCTTTGATGGGAAAAGGGCTGCACAGAGGGCTGGCCAACCTTTCCAGGACAACTGGATCCCCTCTTCCTCTCCTGAATAAGTTTCCTAAGGCTATTGTAACAAACCACCACAAAAAGGGTGGATTAAAACAACGGAAATGTATTCTCTCCAGCTCTTGAGGCCAGAAGTCCATAATCAAAGTATCTATAGGTCCACTCTCCCTTTGGAGGCTCCAGGGGAGGATCCTGCCTTGCCTTTTCTGGCTTCTGGTGGTTAAAATCCTTGATGTTCCATAGCTTATAGGGGCATCACTCCAACTTCTGCCTCCATCTCTTCACATGGTCTTCTCTCCTGTGTACATATCTTTTCTGTTTTCTCTTAAAAGAACAGTGTTGGATTAGGGCCCACCCTAATTGAATAGGACTTCATCTTAGTAATTAAACCAATCACATCTGCAAATACCCTTTTTAAAATAAGGTCAAAGCCTGAGGTTCTGGGTTGAATGTGAATTTGAGAGAGATGATCTTCAACCCAATACAGATGCTCTGTAACAAACAGAGGCTGTGCAGGATAGTGGCTGGGAGTCAAGACTCCCCTAGCTTCTCACCTGGCTTCTCTGCCTATTGCCTGAGACTTCCCTCTGTGCCTTTCATATTTCATCATCTGTAAAATGGGAATACTAAGAGTTCCCACCTTGTAGAATTGTGGAAGTTGAATCAATGCACAGCATGGTAGAGGAGGAGCGCAAACCTTGAGTAAGGCCCTGGGGACGACCCAGGCAGAGGTTTTCAGAATTGGAGGGGTGACTTGGAAAAATGTAGAGGGACATTGTGTCTTCACTTTTTGCTGTGGTGAACATACCAGAAAGAGCAATATGGGCTGGCTGAAAGTGGTTTGAAATAAAATGGCAGAGGGACAAATGGAAGAATTCTGTAATTTTAAAAAGTGTTTAGAGGCAACGTAGATTAGCAAATCACTTCTTTGTATGTTAAAATGAATGCACACAACTAGATGAAGGTGATGATGGATGTTCCTTTTATGACCGACTTGTCACTTACCATCATTGCTTTTGATCAACTGCTTGTCACTCTTTCTGACAGTCACACATCTGGGAACATAGCCATGTAGTTGGAAAGTCTAATCAAAATTTAAAATGTCTGCTCATCAAAAGTCAGCGTAAGTGCTTCTTGTCTTGTACCAGGTGCCTACACAATAGGCTATAGGAGTAACTTCTTACTGTTCCTTCTATTCCCAAACAACTTTTCTCTTTTAGGGTGACAGTGGGGGACCTCTGGTTTGCCAGAAAAAGGACAAGAACACATGGTTCCAGCTGGGCATTGTCAGCTGGGGAGTGGGCTGTGGCCGGAGGAATATACCTGGAGTATACACGAAGGTGGCTAATTACCTTTTATGGATTAATGTGGAGACCAACCTGTCAGGAAGGCCCTACATGCATGAACCAGACTCTGGGTTCAGTTTGCTTCTATCACCATTGCTCATCTTGTTACTCTTTTTTGTGATGCTTCTATTAACCCTGTGACTAAATACTGTATTACCTCAAAACCAAGTGTCCTTCTCAATTTGTGGAGTAAGGACAAGGGCGCGGTGAAGGCTGTGAGGAGGAGGGATTCTCATATGATTAATTGTGCCTGAAGGGGTGCTTAAAAAACCCAGGATCCACAACCATGCCTAATGTATCCCTGGATATTTGGGTAAGTTACCAATTTCAACCTGAGTCCCCTCCACAGGCTTGGGTGGAGGATCCCTCCATGGAATCTCTGAAACAGAAAGCCTGTTCTTTCCTTTCTTACAGACAGGTATCCTCCCACAGCTTATTTCATCTTCCAAAGGCATTAGCAGCTCTCAATTTTCCTTTGCTCCTGAAATAAGAAATATTCCAACTCCTCTCCTATCATTTGTATTATAGCTCATCCCTGAGACCTACAGATCTGGTTTCCAGAAAGATCCTTGTTCTTTGCCCTCCTTTGCTTCCATACCTACCATCTGGTTCAGAGTCTCCATAAATGCTGCTTTTGGCTATCATAGATCATGGGCCATGATGCTAAGATTCAGGGCCCAGAAACCACTGAATAGAAAAGTCCTAGCAATACAGTGGGAAAGCAATACACTGTGAATGAGGATAACATGTAGCTGCTGCCTCTTCTTCCACAGGAAAGAACAACTCTTCCATCTCCACCTCCCAGAATATGCTATATATCTGTCTCTAGCCAAGTTCAAAACATCAGAATGTTCTGAAAGGGTCCTTCTTGCCCACCTCATAGCTAAATTAGCATAACATGTTTTGGGCTGCCATAGTTTCTCCACCTAAATTTTAATTCTCTCTTCTCCAGTGGGACCAAATACATCTTCCAAGAGAGATTCAAATATGCAGGCTACGGTCCCATGACCCATTTTTTAAAATCTCAGTTGCTGTGGTTGGATAGTCACAAAGAGAATTTAAAGATAGGGCCTCCTGCACAGTTTCAAGGGCATGGTTCTGATTTGTGACAGAGATGGAAGGAAGCAAACTCTGTCCTCTGCACTTGCTGTCCAACCTGTGTGCTCAATCAGGCAGTGGGCACAGCTGCTGCCAAGGTTAGTATCAGTGCAGGGACTGCTGATCTTGGATGAATTATCACCCTTGTCTGACCCCAACATATACATTGAGAAGGACAACTAGTCTTGTAAAAATGAACAATGTAATCACTGGTGTAATAGAAGCAATAAAAAATTCCAGAGTGATAGAATATATAAAGAACTCCCCAACTCAATAATAAGAAGGAAAACAACCCAACTTTCAAGAAAAAATCTGACAAATTATTTAAGTAGATATTTCATCAGATAAGTGAATGGCTAATATGCAATGAAAATATACTCAACATAATTAGTTATTAGAGAAATGCAAATTAAATTTGCAATGAGATACCACTATACACCAACCAGAAGAGCTATAATGAAAATAACAACAACAATACAATAAAAATATTGGCAAGGAAGAGTACTTACTGGAACCCTCCTACTTTGCTAGTGGTAATGTAAACAGTTACCGGTAGGCATTTCTTAAAATATTAAAAATGCATCACTCAACACTCCTAGGAATTCTACTTCTAGGAATCTACCCAACATGTATGTGTATGTTCTTAGCACCATAATTCATTAGAGCCACAATCTAGAAATAACGCAGATTTACATTAACTGGTGGTAAATGAATAAACAAATGTGGTATATTCATCCATACACTAGAATACTGTATAGCAATAAAATGGAATGAACCTCTGATATGTTGTACAACACAGATGAATGTCAAAACCATGATGACAGGTGAAAGAAGCCAGACATATAATACTGCCTATTGTTTAAGTAAATTTACATGAAATATTTAGAAAAGGCAAATTAACAGAGACAAAAATCAGATCAGAAGAGGCTGAGGTGGGAGTGGGAATTGATGCAAAGGAGCTTAAAGAAACTTCCTGGGATGATGGAAACGTTCCCAAACTGGATCATAGTGATGGCAGCACACCTATAAACTTCTAAAAAACAACAAAAGAAACTGAAAAACATTGCACACCTAGAGTGAGCAGACATTATGGTATGTAAATAATAACAAAGTTGTTAAATATTTTAAAGCCAAAATTCTTATGAAGAGATAACAATTCAGACATTGCAAAACACATTTAATGATTAGCCTTGGTGCTAATTACATTAACTTTGTGCTGTCCTACAAAATTTGAGAGCTATGTTTGTTGACATTCTTAGGGACTTTCCAGGAAGCCCAAATATTGGAGGTTTTTAAGTAGTGAGTGAGATCATGGACCCACCAGTTTCATAAGACAAGAAGTCACAGAGCCTCCTAGTGCCCTGCCTGCAGGGGGTCAGGGGTTGGGGACAGTATAAAAGGTTTCTTCCTGCTGGATTCCAGGCGCCTTTAGAATTAGATAATTTCAGAGCACAGATTTTCCCAAATGACCATCTAGCCAGAAGAAGGGGTAGATTGGAGCAGATGGCATGAGCCCGGGAAGTCTCATATCGACTTTTGAATCCAGTTGGCTTCCTCCAGCAGTGCTGTCTCAGAAACATTACTCCCTTAAGTTCTCACTGTTGGCTGTTGACTGCTGATGGAAGAAATACTTTCAGAAATGAGGGAAGTGAAACTCAATCTGTAGAAACCACTCTGGTTGAGCACCGAAAGTAATCTTTTCTCACCTTGCTCTCAGGAAACTTGGTGCAGTTGGGAAAAGCATGTTCTGGTTCTGGCCATGTCACTTGCAAGGCATGTGACCTTGGGCCAGGTATTTAACTTCTTTAAATCTTACCTTGTTTTGCTAACCTCACCAAGTTTTCAATCTTTTCATTCGTTCTGTCCACCTTCCCTTATTCTATTTAACATATTTATTATGGGTCATCTAAAGCTCCATATCTGGTGTGGTAATGTCTGAATCCCAGGTGATTCTGTCTCTATTCATGCCTTACAGTCTGCTTTGAGTGGAGTACAGCTTCACAAGCCATTTTCTGGAGGGTGTTTCCATAATTACTTTCCTATTATTTTACATTCTACCTTCTGTGTTCTTATATTTAACACACCTACTGGTACATAGTTGGTTTTCTTTTTCATCTATACTTGGCAATGCTAATGTCTAGCCTGTGAGATATATGTTCTTGTTTCTTTGTAAGGTTAGTGATTCTAATTTTGTGCATTTAGGAAAAGAAAAGGAAAAGAGATTCCATCCACAGACTGTTGCTTCCACCTGGGAAGAGTCCCCGGTCCTCTGTTGGCTGATAATTAAAGGGCTGATCATCTCCATCCAGTCAGGGGTCAGCTGGGTTTGGCTGCCTTTGCAGTCAGATCTCAGACAGACTCAGTCTTTCTCTCCCTGGTCCTTATTTCCCAGGCATGGCCTTGACCATCCTGATTGAGAGTCTGGCTGGTCTCAAACTCCTCAGCCTTGAAGGAGACCTGGGTGCCCCACCTACATCTCCAGCTTCTCACCTCAGGAACTTCAGCTTGGCTCCTGTCTCGAGGAGGACAGGCTTGGTGATCTTGAGGCAGGGTCCCTCCTGTGGTGGATCTTTCTTCCCTAAGCATTGGAGACAGCTCGGCAACTCCCTCTGCCCTCTAAGTGCAGGTTAGCCTAGCTGCTTGCCAGTCATTCATTCAGCTTGAAATTGTGCTCCTGGGGCTTCTTAAGATTCCCATTTCTCCTTTAGACCTGCACCACAACTGAGAGCTTTACTGGTTTCTCTCTGCTCCTGTGGATGGCCTCTTTCTGAGCCAACTCTAAATCTCAGCCTGCTCTCACAATTGGCAAATGTCCCCAGGGGAGAGGAGGGACAAAAACCTGTGGGCAACTTGGAAATATCACCTCATTTTTGTAACAGTGTTGGTTCTCTGAAATATCTAGTCCCTTTAGTTCTCACTGGTCTCATAGCTTTCCTATGCTGTGATTCCAAAAAGTTATTTAGGTTTTTCTGATGATACAGTGGGAGTACTGATTTACTATAATTTATAGCATACTACCTAGACGTGGAAATTGAGAGATTATTTTTTAGTCCATTACAAAGGAAAACTCCCTGCCCCCTTCTCCCCTCCCAGTTTACAGTATCCATTATTAGGATTTTTGCTTCAAAACAGCTGCTGGCCATCTTCAATATAATGTTTTTCCTCTGAAATATTAGTCATAGGCTGTCATTGCTATCCTCTTAAAGGCATCTGGAGGAAAAGAAGAAATCTGAATCTAGAGCCTTAACAGAGGTTAGCAAGGAAGGAGGTAATGCAAATTTTAAATGACATAGCAAAGACTGGGTCGGAGTAGGAATTATCAGGCGGTGGTTTGACACTAGATTCTACCCCAGACTGAGTTATGCTAGGTGAGTAATTTATTTCTCTCAGTCTCCTGGTGTTTAAAATAAGGTTTGGCAGCAAAAACTATTCCTTACTCACTATTACAATGCTGTCACCTGGTGCATAGGGGAGTTCTGACTTTGCTTTTATCTGTTTGTTTCAAACAGCTCCAAGTGCAATAGAAGTACTAGAAGGGGAGTGTGGTATCTGGCTTCTGTGCAAAACAGATAAATAACCTCAGATAATTTCATCAGAGCTAGAGTGGAATGAGAGGGCTCAGGATTAGGGAGACACCAAAAGTGCTGAAGATATAAAAATCTACCTTACTCTGTCATTCCAGCCAAGAGGGCTGAAACCTGCAAGTCCAGGGTCCTGGAGCTGGAACAAGGGTTCCCCAAATCCGTGTGGTTCTGGGGGACAGGGGCCAGCCTGAGATGCCAGGGAACTGGGGGCTGGGGAGTGAGGATAAGGTATGACTTAGCTGGAGGGCCTGTGTCAATTCAGCACCACCCTCTTGACCTACTTCAGACACTGTCAGTCTGGTGGCATCTGCTGCAAGAGAAAGGAGCATAGCACATAAACACAAACCGGGAGGAGCAGAGCTATTTGGGGCAGGAGACATTAGGAAATAGAAAGTTCTCCCTGGGGAGTGTAGCCTGTTTCTTTTCCCACTTCTGTATTTGAGCTATGCCCTGATTCTTTCTTGTTCCCAGCCAGCTAGGGTATTGAGCACAGGATGACAGAGACTCTCCTCCGTTTCATTAATTCCACATGGGACAGAGTGGGCGAGGTGGGTC